TGTATTAATTTCAAACCTTCTATTTTTCTCTTTTCCTCAGTTTGAACATCGTATACAACAACATTGGCCCTAAGGGACTCTGTGCCATTGCTGAAGCTCTTAACTTTAACTCAGCCCTGACCTCTCTCTACATCTGGGGAAATCACTTTGACGATGCAGTAAACATGGTCAGTTGCTTGTCCTCAATGTTGTCATTATTTTTATTATTTTTATGATTATTATTCAGTCGTGCATTCTCGGCATTGAGAAGAATAGGACTGACGTGGTGCTAGTGTGTCGTACACGGTGACTAAATGGCGAACCAGGTAGTGACTCTAAAAACAGAGTCATCCTCTCTACAGGTCGAGGGTTGAGTCATGTGGCTAACAACCTCTTCTGTAAAAAAAACCTGTTACTGAAACACATGCAAGCAAAAACCATTATCTCTGCTTGGCTGGTCATAGATCTTCTCCAAATGGAGAGTTTATGGAGTGAGGCTCTAAAAGCCGAAAGGAAGCTGCTAGGCAGAAGTCTCCACCATCATTCAAGTCCACCAAGTCTCTTCGGATTGGATCGTGGAATATTATGTGTGGAAAGGGACATGAGAGAGATGAAGCTCACTTGGAATGAGCTTGGAAGAATGGCCCAGGACAGAGATAAATGGAAGGAGCTTGTATGTGCCAGGAGGGAAAGGCATTGATGATAATGATTATTGCTATTGTTATTATTATTATTTTTAATTATATTATTATTGATAGTACTATCATCGTTATTATCATTCTTCTTTTTCTTGTTCTTCTCATCATTATTATTATTATTGTTATTATTATTATTGTTCATTATTATTATTATTATTATTATTACTATGGGTTTTTTTTAATAACATGATAATAAAATTCCTGTAGCGATTATTATAGTACAATTCAGCTCTATAGGCGATTTACAACATCTTTGTCTTAACAGGAAAAATACGCAAAAATGTGCATGCATCCGCACTCTATGCTAACGCCAACACATAAGCGGACATTCATATTATCAAAACACAATCGATGACGATATGCACATCACATTACTAATATGAGAGTGATTTGACTATCAAGATGGCATTACATGGAGTAGATTTTCAATTGACTCTTGATTTTGTCTTGACTTTGTATCCCTAAAATGGGGTGGCAAAAAGTTCCAGATAAGAAAGGAGACTTTGAGAGTTTTTGACTCTCTATCCTAGGTGCACTTATAAGAGACTAACAACAAATAAAGTTGAGCGCCCATTTCATTGCATGCATATGTATCTGCCAATTTCCAACATGACTGCCATTGTCTTTGTAAAAGCCTTTTATTTTCAAGACGAACAAAAAATAATCCCGCACATCTATAGAGAGAGCCGATTTTCGCATCATCTTCCCAGTATCCGCATCGCTCAGAATCGAAATACAAAACACACACACTAACGCACAAGTGTGAGACACACACACACACACACACACACACACACACACACACACACACACACACACACACACACACAAACGCACAGGTGTGAGACACACACACACTAAAGAATAATTGGAACGAGGATGGCACGTTTGAGCGGATTTTCCCCGCATCAACTCTAAGTTTTAGTAATGCTGTCTGCCAACACCAGATAAGCCTGGTGCTATGGCACACGACACGATCCTCTGGCGACTTAAGTTTATTAACAACGACGTCTGATATTTAAACCCAGTCTAAATGTTTGGTTTTGGTTTTGTTAGGTTTTGACTTGTTTGTTGTTTTTATTTTGCTTTGCTTTGTTTGGGTGGAGGGGTGTTGGAGGATGAAAGAAGGGACTACATTGACATACCTCCTAATACACACATGAACACACACACGCACACACATGCACCGAAAAGGAGAGAGGAGAGAGAGCCTGGGAGAGGAGACAGACAGAGAGAGAGAGAGAGAGAGAGAGAGAGAGAGAGAGAGAGAGAGATAGACAGACAGACAGACAGACAGACAGACAGACAGAGAGACAGAGAGAGACAGAGAAAGACAGAGAGAACTCGAGCAGAGTAATGGAACTGAAATACTATACCCTCTACTAAATTAGCCACTCGCATCAGTTTAGCTTCATCCTACTCTCCTTTAAAACGACCGTTTGAAGCAGATGGTCAACAATTATCGTATGCCTTACCTCTGGTCTAGAAGTTGATATTTGTTTACAAATTACTGAGTCAGAAGAATTTCCTAAGCATAGCATAACTTGATACAAACGAAACACAATGGACCTTGTCATCACCTTAATAATAATAATAATAATAATAATAATAATAATAATAATAATAATAATAATAATAATAATAATAATAATAAATAGTAAATAGCATTTTATAGCGCATACCCCCACTCAACAACAAGCCCTATTCGCTTTACACTATATCATTACCCCAGCAGACCATAGAATACTCCTAAACATTATCAGCTTTCCGAGCAGCATAGTGCAAGCAGCAGATTAACCCGCTCAAACCTTAACAGACTGACACGATCTTTCACTGCCTATAGCTGGGTACCCATTCCCACCTGGGTGAAGTGAGGAATATTCGTATAAAGTGCCATCCCCAAGGACACAATGTCGGGCTCCTTATGGGATTCGAACCCACGACCCTATGGTTACCTTCACAATATTCGGTCTATTTCGCCTCATTCTATTATTTCCTTACCTTTTAATCATCATCATCATCATCATCATCATCATCATCATCATCATCATCATCATCATCATCATCATCATCATCATCATACGATCATGTCTAATTAAGACCAAGTTATTCATATTGAAGCACTTCACAACTTACAAAGGAAAACAAGGGCAACTACAGTTACATCATCAACAGCAACAACAACAACAACAACAACAACAACAACAACAGCAACAACAAAAACAACAAGGGCAATAACAACAACAGTAACAACAACAACAATAGCAACAGCAATAGCAACAACAACAAAAAAACAACTTCAAGGCTGTGAGATCTAGACGTACTCGTATAACCGTATGCATGCTCAACATTGCGCCCCAAGGAGTCAAGTTGTGGTTGATTCCAAAGGAATTCCTCAATTGAAATTGATGCTTCGGTCGCCCTCACTGTCTGCTTATTACATTCTGGAGAAGAATTAATTTCGCTTTCCTCTCCAGCTGTTCTTTCCTTTCTCTTTTTATTTTCTTTGTGTTTGTCTCTTGCCTTTTTTCCCCTTTATTTTCTTACAGTGAGCTAGCTCTCTCTCTCTCTCTCTCTCTCTCTCTCTCTCTCTCTCTCTCTCTCTCTCTCTCTCTCTCTCTCTCTCTT